GTTTTACCTTGTATTTTTAGTTTTTAAAACATAGACTCTGCTGTTGACATTCCCCATATTTTTCATAACAATGGTGTTTAAACACGATTGTATCACATCTCGCGAAAATTCTCTATTTGTATCACCTTTTGCAATAAATCCCTTTTTGATACTCATACTTTACGCATCAGCGCTGGTGGATGTATTGCTATAAAGTGTCAGATGGTCAACTTTAATGTCGATACTAGATCAGAGAGCCTTACATCTAGGCTCTTAAGCCTAAGCGCTTATTGTCAGGTAAGAGTGTTATGGTAAGAACATGGTTTGCGGATCAAATAACAAGATTACGCGGAGTATGTAAACGTTCCAAGGCCATCTACTATTTAATTGGAGCCGATGTTTTTCCTTGTGCTTTCTCAGGTAAGAGGCTGTGTAACGACCCTCCACATGCTAGCACTTATTGTCAACCCCTCGCCTACATTTTATATGGCAACCAGCCCAAAGATGATCGCCTTTTCAGAAGACGACTGATCGCCTTCAGTGCTAATGTGCTTGAAATTCGGCGGCATCCACGTCTGCCGAGTAAGTTAAATAAACGGTAGTTCTTAACTATATGCGCATACCACTTTGAAGGCTTACTTAGCAATATTTCGAGATAGAGATGTCACAAGCCAAGAAGTCGCGCTTGTGATGCACCAAAGTACAGTAAATGAAGGTGAAATACCACTAATGAATCCATGAATGGAGCTAGCCATGGATGAGGCACTGACCATAAGCGAGTGACTTAAGGTCGCCGTCACCCTCTTTCATCAATCTGTGTGGATGGGTACAGAGTTAAGTTAGGCGTATAAGATCAAGGCGATGTCATCTGGATGTTTCAGATCCTGGCAGCAGTTTTCCGAGATAATCTTTATCGCGTTCTTCCCAGCGAGAAATGAATTCTGCCAGCGTGTATGTTCCCCTGTTTGCAGATCAGAAAGCGGCAATTGGATAATTACATTACCAAGATGCGTGTTCATTAGCATATCTGATAAACTAGATTAGCTAGCTGGTCGCGCTTAGTTGGCAGTGTTCATAGAGGTCTTGACAGTACCCCATGGTCCATCAGGAAATCTTCTTTGGCAGACATCATCTTGAATGTAGGCACCTCCAACTCCGTGAACCATTACTTGGTACATCTTTCGGCACTAAACCGACAGTACCTTTATAGCTGTTGTTGTTGGCAACACTGGGCTTGCATGGTCGAGCGATCCAATGAAGGTAGTAAGAGCCTGTTTGCAGATGGAGCGCAAGCTGCATTTGAGTCGCACGCCCGAATCTAGAAAGTTATTTTCACTAAATTCTTAATAGGGAAATGCGCAATGTAACGACTGATTCCATTTGAATGAATGGAGGGCTAGGGGGACTGCTCATCGTACAGCCAAGTGTTCGAGATCCCATGAGTGTAGTGATAGACTCTACTCTGTCAAAAAAATCTGATCTAATGGACTCGCGTTAACAAGCGCACAGAGAATGGTGCTGTACGGTTCACTCCGGTATGTTATGATTTCATCCGCCCACGTTGTATACTCTTGGTACGAGCTAGCGTACTTCGTTGGGTAGGATGCGTCTCGTAATGGCCATGGGACCTGCTCCATATTCATCGTAGAAGTTTACGCGCAACTTCTTCAGGTTGAGCTTAACGCCGCACTTGATGATACCCTTGGCGCAGTATTTCATGATTCACTGGTCTTGTGGAGCCCGTCATGTAGCTTGACATTCACAGATAGCGCATCTTTACGTTACTTGGATCAAATTGCCGGGAGCATGGCGCTCTGCAGAGCAGGACGAGCGCTGTCTGGAGAACATGGGGAACATATGGGCTGTCTTCGCTGTCGGTGATGGCTGTGTACCCGCAGCCGTTGCGGCTGATAAAGTTTTGGTAAGTGATCACCCGACCCGTGTAGCGGTTGTCGGTATTGCCATCCGCAATAAGTTGGTCTCAGGGTAGCTATATTGAAGCACAATCGTCGATCCATGTCACATGGTACGCGATACTGAGCGACGGTTGTCGATTCAATCGAATACTCCAACCTCCTCGCTGTATCGCTCTCGTCGTGTCCACATGACTGGGCGAATGGCGTCGAGTTGCTTGGCTGAGCGCTTCAGGAGATTGTAGCCGCAGATCGTTGTTCTGCCCGAAATTTTGACTTAGAAGGAGAGGCGGGAGCATGTTCTCCATGGCCATCACCGCCGCGGATGTTGTCGTTGTCATTGCCACTGCGTTGTCGCTGCATCAAAGGGTTGAAGGCACAGCGACGGACATAGCCAAAGTGTTGCCAGCCACCGCATCACCGGCCGGCCCACTTTTGAATCGATCTGTTTCGGCCTTTACCAAGCTCTTGCCATCCTAACTTTGAGCGCACATACCCACGTCCCGTTTCAGGTGCAGACAACGGCATGCCACTCCGCAGAGGGGAGTCTGGCTGTGAGCCGGCAGAGACAGTTCTGATGTCGCCATCGTGGCCAGCGGTGAAAGATTGGTGCTGCAGGGTAAGTTAGGTCCTCAGCGTTGCTTGATGTTTAGCTGGAAAATTCGAGCGTGATGCATTTAAATCCTTTTCTCGGCGGCGCGGCCAACGTAAATTGACATCGATTTGAGGCGGAAGTTGCGAATGCGCGGCGACTGAAGGAAAAATTGTGAAGAAGGTGGCGTCAACGTTAAAATTCGTCTGAAGTGATCCCACTTGGTGCTAATTTGACAAACGACGACTGACATCTGCTACATCAGCTCTTGAAGTGATCTTTGCAACGTTCAAGGCGCATATTCGGTTCTTCATGCGGCGACGGTACGATCAGAAATTCAGGGTCGAGCTAAAGCACACTGTCGAAGCCATAATGACACATAGACCGTTTGGCTACTTTACGGGCCGGCGGCCAGGTCACACCGATGTTTGATAGCCAATGTACACCGATAGAGAATATTGGTGCTGTGGTATGCTTTTTGAGACTATTTCTTTCAGTTGGCGCGAGTGGACATTCGAAGAAAAGATGCCGTTTGGACTTGACGCGTTGCAGTGATCACAAACGCAAACGCGAATGCCCGGATGCGAGGCCTACAAAGCCGAAAGCACGAGCGACGGAAGGCGAGTCGGAACAGAAGATCATCGAAGATCGGCAGCGTTATCCTGTGCAAGTGCTTAGTATGCTGCACGTTCATCCTGACCTGCGGAGCGTCAATGTTGGGAGGCATCCGGTGCTGCTTTGTTGGAGTCCTGGGTGTCCAGACGACTTGAAGAAGTGCGGTCCGGGGGATCACCGGAACTATGCGCTTCCTCATCTCACTTATGCAGCCCACATCCGGAAGCAGACGTCTATTGATGGTGCTTGAAACGTCGCAGAAAATCTGTAAGGCGCCGAGCCACTCCACAATCTGCGTTGCGTCTCGGCATTGCTTGTTCAGCCATTTATCTGCATACCTGGTAGAAGCGTATAGTCAATGTGACGTTGCATAAATTCAATTCGAGTCGACCATTAATGGGCATCAGTCGTAACAGATTGACTCGTCATCTCGTAGTGCAGTTCCGTGCTCTTATGGAACCAGACTGGCTATTTCAGATTGTGTGTCGCGGGATCTTCCAGAGGTAAGTCGCACCAAGTGATCTTTCGGCGTATCTTGTACAACGACCACGTCCACGTCACTCGACATGACGTTGAAGTCCGGCTCCACATGATCATGTTGCCATGACGAAGCAGAGATATCATCAAGAGGTCGCGTGCTAAAACTCCACTGAACTCCAACAGCTCGACACTCGCCGTGGTCCAGTTGCCTTGCTCGTCACGGTCACGGCTCGCATAGATTGCAGGAGAAGCCTAAGTCGCTGTCGATTGAGTTGTGCTGCCATCTTCTCTATCTACAAGCCTCCTTTATTGCGTTGCTGCTCCAAGAGTTCACCGAGAATCAGCTGCACGTATAAGGCATCGCAAACGTGTGGTGGCTTAGGACAATCTGGTTCAGCATCGAATGCCATCGACGCGACCACTGTCGCTGGGATCACTACATGTCGCGTTAGTACCACAAGCAAGAGAGCACCATCGTCTGCGCGACCAGGAGTGACTACGAAATATACGAGCGTCTATACCAAGCTTTGAAGCAACTGTAAGAAGTTCTATGATCGTGTCAGCAACTGGTGGCTGCCCAGACGGGATGCACAGGTGCTTGACCGTGTCCATGCGACCGAGAAGGTGGACTCCCGGAAGCACAGACATTGTTCCGGTTCAGCGGCAGCAGCATCCGTTTGGACTAGTTGAACTTTGCACCGTACTCATTGACACCCATGCATTTGAGCAAACAAAATACAAGCGCCCAGTAGACGCGTTCTAACGCTTTCTAGAAGTCTAGGCAAAGCATGTAGACCTCTTCGCCACGCTTGTGACAAGATCTTGTGAGTCGGGTATTAACCGGCTGATCACTATTTTTCTCGTTGACATGAAGTGGAATCGAAGGTGCTGGTATATCGCATGTCGGTGGCTTGACCCATGCTGATAAAATCGGCCTCGTAAAGGGACGCTCATTCTATATCCAAGTGTGCTTCCTTGTAGCACAGCGCGCGAACATTTCTTATGCAGCAGCACGACAGCCGACTTGCGCTGAGATGCAAGCAGCTCACCACGATAGAGCCGGTCGTTGAAGACAATCGCGAGGCACTCGCCAACGGCGTCTAGAGCCTCCAGATAGAGACCAGCGGTCAAGCTATTCGTACCCAGTGCAGACGATGCCTCGATGTGCCAGATCGCGCCTGCAATCTTCGCGGCAGTCAGGCCCGCATCGAGCAACAAGCGATCGGATTGCGAGACAAAGCGCGTGATCGATTCGAGGAGATTGCGCGGTATATCTTAATCTGGTGATTGAGCTTTTCCTGACAGACTGCCTGAGTCATCCATCTCTGATCCTTAGTGCTATAGGAAGCGGAGCGGAATCTCGTGTGGCTTCGTCGAGACACTTCCGTTTGGAAATTAACTTGCTCAGTCGAGAAATAGCGTAGACTTGCATCCAGCAGATGAAAGAAGTGCGACGTCAAACGCTCAGAGTTGGTCGCTTGATAGTTGACACAGCATCTAGATGGGACGGTCGTCTCCTTGTAATAGCGCTTGACTTTGTTAAAGAGTTTGCAGTGGTTTTTTTCAATGACGCATAATCTCGAGCAGCGGCTTCATCCAGCGCAACTTAGTTCCCTTCGATGGATTGCATGCCTTGAATGTGAAGCTTCTTCGACACGTCTTGCAGTGGTTTTTTGATAAGCACCTTTCACGCCTCCCAGACTTTGCCCAAACTGTCAGCGAGTCGATGTTTGTCACGCAACGTCTTCGCTTCCTTCTCAAATGCCGCGACAACCTTCGAGTAGTCGAGCAAGTATTTCAAGAACTTCTAGTAGTCAAGATCGTGGAGCTGCGCGCCGAATTGGACTATCACACTGTGCGCGAGCTAGTCGTCGGCGAAGTATCTGGATGAGCCGTAGTAGAGGTTGCAGAACATCTATAACACTGACACGTAATCCAATCAGTTCTTCCTTGGGAACGGACCAGAAAACACGTGCTGCATGTCATGATATATCTGACATGCGTAACAACACCAAGTCTCACTAACCACTCGAGGCAGCTGAATTGACTCAGATCAAGCACAAGTCGGGTGTGGGGCCGTCGAGTCGTGTTTTTAGCCGCGCGTTTAAGTCGCCGAGCGCTAATTGCGTCGCAACATCCTCAAACTCGTCAGTGTCCAAGCACACAGAGTATCACAGAGACTTTCTGCTTCTCCTGGTGATCGTCGGGCGCCTACACGTTGTGAGTGTTGATAGGAGCAAGCTTGAGCGTCCCCCTTACAGCGTGGTCCCGTTCGGGAACGGGCAAGCGCGAGCCGAGGCGAAACCCGGGAAGTCGGAGTGCAGCACGGACATCACGTTGCTGCTTCGACTACTAGGAGGTCGATCCAGCGATGTGTTTGGGTCACTGTCGAAGTGCTCGTGTGTGAAGCTCGAATCGAGATAGAGTGTTGAGCGTTTAGAGGTGTCGCCCATCGCTAAAGTTTGTTCTTCTGATGAAGAACACCGAGTGCTTTGAGAGAAAAATTCGATAAAAACGTGGCCGCTTTTTTTCTTGAAAGAGAGTGACGCGGTCCATATGTGCTGGGGTGCGAGGACGTCGGTGAAGAGTTGCCAAGTCACTCGCCACTGTCGTCAGCGAGCCATCGTCAGCGACGCAGGTCTTCAGCGCTGACGTGTTTTCTGGGTAGTAGCCTTCAAGCGCACAGAGCGTCGAAATCATCGAGCAAGTGACCCTACCACTGTACCTCGTACCACTGCGCCTGCAATGTGAGCTTATGACTGACCGCAGAAACATGAGCAGCGTGTGCGGGCGCAAGAAGCACGTGTGATGCGTCGGGATCCACTTGACCGGCCGACTCGTGACGTACTGGATGCAGTGGTCGGTCTTGAAGAGCATCTCAGCGGTCACCATCGAAACCATCTCAAACATGCCAAGGGCCATCGACGCCCGCGACAATTATATTATCGCGTCGGAGTCCGTCCACCATGTGCTGCAAGCTTTAAAGATGTCTGCGAGCTTCTACAATACCGCCGAGTCCATGATCTTCTCACACTTTTCTGGAAACGTCATGTCATCACCGCGGTTTGGCGCACACAATACCAGGATAAATATATGCAATTGCGCGAGTTCAGCAATTTCACTGTCGCGACGTGCCATATTGAGTGATACCGCGCTGTTGAACGTAAGAAGAATCTCGACCAGCTTCTTCGCAATGTCGTCGGGTTTCATAATAATTTTGACGATTCCACCAACTTTCGCTTCTGCTGCCAATAGGTGGTGAAGCGGCTTATCAAGCAGCGCCGAAATATCATCGTTCAGCACCAACTCAGTCACCTTTTTGATTGGCTTTGCCTTGGCCGCCTTCACAATTTTTGTGTGGTTTTGCTCAATAAAAAAGCAACCTCATCGACGTCTGCACCGCTCACACTGACAGGCACGACCTGCTTGCGCACACCGTGCTTCTGGTCAGTCGAGATGTTCTTCAAATTGAACTCGACTGCCATTGACTGGAGTAACTGGAAGTAGTTTGATACGGCGATCACGTCAAAAGCTGCAGAACCTGATTCGTGAGCAGCGCGGTAAAGTCAATGTCTTTGCGACTGCGTTTCTTGCGGTGCGAAACTGCGTTGAATCATCTGCGTTACCACTAGCAGCATGGGAGGGGTCATTTACATAATCTATGAGCTTCCTGGCGGCAACAAGCTTTCGTTCGAACCAATAACACTCGATATCGACAGCGTGTCGGCTGAAGTGCTCGGGATAAGCGCGATTATGGCTTGCCATGTGGAGCTCTGCCAGGAAGCTTTGCATCACGCTTTTCGGGACGTCAACGATAGCCTTTTTATGACGCGACCTATAAAGTCTATCTACTGAGACAGGAAAGGACGTCTGCATGTCGCGTCTGTGAAGATTTTACTGACGGAATGGTAACGAACAGCTATTGGTTGCTGTTTTCTGTGCCAGGACCGGTGAGGAATGCAAGCACCTTGGTCTCGCAATCTCCCGTCCAGGGCATTTGGAGCCGAAGGAGGTCTGTAAAACACCAGTAGAGATTCAGGATCTAAAGGATCGCAGCGGCAACGAATATTGCAATCAAACGCTCGTCAGGGGTCTATCCTAATCATGATATGACGGTACTGCCGAGTAAGCACTGCCACGTTACGTATCCACCGTACATAGAGGTGAAGCTTCACGGCTAAGTGGTAAAAGAGATTATTTACTCGCGAAGGAAGTGACAGTATGATTCCGATTGATTGCATGTCCCCCCCACTACTGGCGGAAAATCTCATAGAGTTAAGAAAGTTATCCTGCGAATATATGTGCAAGGAATCGTATGTTGGCGTGGTCACCAGAACGATACGATTGGTACCGGTGGAGCTGATCCTGTCATCCAGCATGGGTGTATCTGTTACTGAAAACACTCACACATCACTGAGTGTGGGAAATGGTGCCGCCATCATCAAGGATCCTGCGGGTCCTTGAAATTTATTGTTTATGATCATGCGCCGTTGAGTCAGGGCGGTGTAACGAAAGATCCACCACGTGCATTATCCCCTAATAGGGAGTTGCGTCATGAGATCGACTTGGTCCCTAAAACCAAATATTGCGTCACACAATGTTAGCCCATTCAAAAGGGCATTGTGACAGTATTGACTTTCTTCTATGTGGAGCACAATGTGATTGTATAGGGTAAAATTAAATTTTGACAGTCGGTGCCGCATTGTGTTAGAAAGAATTTTGACGAGTGAAGAATATTGCGCATACCTATTATATTTTAGACGTAGAAACAAACATGATGCAATAAATGATTACTTACAGAATATGCTGCTGAACAGCATGGTCAGTCGTACTTTATTCAGACCTCTACTAGTTGATGACTGTTATAAACTTATTATAGACAGCGATATCCCTCTCACGGCAGCAAGTACTCCGAGCGGTATGCTCGGGAGTGGCCGACTAAAATATTCTCAACCTTAATGGGGGAGAGTGTAACGGGGTTACGCGTACCCTGGTAACAGTGTGTTTGTCACACGAGATGGGCATGGTGTGACTGCAACCAAACAAGAATACGGGATGTGGCTGGGTAGCCAGTAGTTATGCATGTATTTAGATTTTGCTATATACATACGATAATTTATACCCCTTAACGCTCCCGCGAGTTCTGTGTATGTGATCGCGAGAGCTCAAGGCTCTTCTACTTCCCTTGCTATTGCCGGGAAGCGCGAAACGTCTGATGACGCGAGGCGTTCTGATCTTTTCGATCAAAAGCGTCCATGGCGACTGGGCAATCTTGCCGAAGTGGCGCCTCAAACTCCCACGAGTTTTCGGAGTTG